CTTTAATTCATCGATTTTCTCGCTATGCTAAAGTTCGATGGTGTTGGTGAACACGTGTGCTACGGCACGCGCCGCGGCTCCTTCGACTCGAATTCCCGGAAGACAACTCATAATACAATGACATAACTTTTTTTAATTTTAACATTTTAACACTGATCTTTTTTTTAACACATTGCTGTTAGTTTTCCGATTAAAATAAGACCAAACACGATATAGTTTGGACAGATATTTCTGTCGACAAAATCAAAGACGATAGACGTTGCACGTAATTTACTGCCAAGATGCGCGTGATGTGCGGTGGGAAAGAGCTTAGGCAAAGTTGTTGACTTTACTGATGCTGTAACAAATAATGTAAAAAAAATTAATTTGTATATAATCCATATTCAAATTGGCTAAATGTCGTGTTCTTTCTCGATGTTTCGACATCTTAAAATTCCAAGGTCGGGAATGTACAGAAAACGGTTCCTTTACAGCCTCCACGTGTAAGCTTGTCCTCAAAATGATGTCGCTTCTCCCGACCCAGCAATTTCAAACATGTAACACTTCGTTCTCGGCCGTCCTCGTTGCCTTCTGTCTCCCATCCGTGTAAAGCTTCCTATTGCCGGTGTCCAACGTAGACTCAAATATGCCTTTAATATTTCATACGTTAAAAATCGGTTTTTGTAATGCTTTTTCGCAAAATAAAATAAGTTACCTATCACGTATAACGAATAAGAATGGTCTAAAGCACGTTGTGTTTGGTATCATTTTAATTGGAAAAATGTGACCAATGTATGAACAAAATTTTCATGTATAAAAAATTAGAAATAAAAACGTTAAGTCATTGTTTTTATTCTATCGTTACAATGTTGTACACCGGCTGTCCCGATCCTGACCGCCGCCTTACATACACAGTATACAACATACTCTCACGAGGTGTCGGCAACAATAAAGGCGAGCCGCGAGGCTCGATGAAATCAATTCCTGCGTATTACTCTCGACACTTTAGAATTCGGTCCCGGCGACAGATAGGGAGACATTACTGTACGTACACCAGGCACGGAAGCGATCGAGATTCCGTTTGAATTTCTGCCGAATTCTCTAGGACCACCGGACCCGCCAGCAGGTGTTCCGAGCGTGTGCTGTTCTCCGGGCGCGACCACCATCAACTGGCGATCGTCTCCGTACGACGGAGGCTGCACGGTGACCGGCTACACCGTGGAGATGAATCGCTCGGGTGAGAACGACTGGACCACCGTCACCGAGTCCTGTTACTCCCTGAGCCACACGATAGAGTCTTCCGGATCGAGTGTCGTGGAACCGGACGAGAAATATCGATTCCGTGTTCGAGCGGAGAACATCCACGGGGTTAGCGAGCCGGGGAACGAGTCGGAGTTCGTCAGGATCCCGAGGGAGGGGGAAACGGAATTATTCGACGACGAGGAAGGTAAGGAACGCCTAACCTCTTGACACAATGACGAATGGGGGCGTCGTTTCGTTTCACGCGCCACTGTAGACTTTGACGAGTCTAACTGTTTTCGGCGGGTGCCGTGCAGTATACAGGGTGTCCCGAAAATATCTAGAAATTTGGAGATAGTGGTGTGTTTCTTCAGGTTATTTGAAGTAACTTTTTCCTTGGCGAAAATGCAATCCGCGGCTTCGTTCACGAGCTATTAACGATAAACAGTGACCAATGAGACGCGAGCTCGGCCGACGCTCCGTCCTTGCGGACAATGGCGCGGCGCGCCGGCTGTTTGGCGCAGCGGCAGTGGTCCCGAGGGTGGGGCGTCAGCCGTACGCGATTTCTCATTGGTCAGCGTTTTTCGTTAATAACTCCTAAACGGGGCGTCGTAGAACATTTTTGCCGAGGAAAAAGTTACTTCAAATGACCCGAGGAACCCGTCATTTCCGGATTGTAGAATATTTTTGGGGCACCATGTATAGTAATGCTGTATTAAAATGTACAATAATATTATATTAAAATGTATAGTAATACTATATTAAAATTAAATATTTCCATTTGAACGCGTTCGTCAAGAAACATTTCGCAATCGGAAAGTATAAATATGAATATTTCTAAAAAAAAATTCGAATTCGAATTGTATATTTTGATTTAGTAAATTAAGAAATTCAAGCCTGAACATCTTCGAGGGATAACGACGATAGATTGTTAGCAATTAATTTTCACTCCAGCGGCGAAGAACTAGTTTTAAATGAAAAAGAAAAATAACTGGCGATAAGTCTGTTCGCATAGACACAATACAGAGGTTCTCGTGGCGCAAGGATGCGTAAGACTACTACGTGGTTTTGCGGAAACTTACGATATAATAACGTCGCATTAGAAGGAAAGTGGATCTGTGGATGACTAATGTGATTTCAATGACTAATTTACTCGAACAAAAACTGCGGTGACGGACAAAACAGTGTAATTGAACAAAATATAATGGACAGTAAATAAACACGGGTTATTACCACTGGATTGCCGGAGCGGGTCAATTAGGATCATTTACGATTTTATATATAGTGTTATATACATATGTATATATAGAAGAACTTAAGTAACTTTTTTATAACATATGATGATTGTTTAAAACTTGTGTTAGTCATAATTCTATTAAAAATTAACATATGTTTTAAAAATATATTAAAAACTTATTTATATATATGAAAAACTTAATTAATTTTTTATTATATACATTTTATTAATATTTATATATTGTAAATATTATAAGATAAATATAATATAAATAAATATATATGTATAAAGATGTATAACATAAATATATAACATTACATTATTATATATTACATATTACATTATATAAATTATAATTATAATATACTTATTTATTACTATTTATTGTTACTCATTATTATTATATATAATTATATTATAATTAATATTATAATAATTAATATATTATAATTAACTCATTATATTATAATTGACTCGCTCTGACAATCTAGTGTTAATTGAACGCAAGTCCACGGCACAATTATACATGCAATGCAATAGATAGTCTTAATAGAATTGTTTAAAAAGAACACTCAGAATTGACGAAGTTTTTCCATGTTAACGAAAAGTGAATTTTACACGACAAATTAGTCGGTCCACGACGACTCAATTTTTTGCGTGTAACAAAACACGTTTTCTTTGAACTGTGATATTTTTGCCAAAAGAATTCGAGCCGCCGTTCGAAGCTCGAGTGGTCGAAATGGAAGGCGGACATCTGTTCGCCGACCGATACGAGGTGTTGGAGGAGCTCGGCAAAGGACGATACGGCACCGTCAGAAGAGTCATCGAGAGATCATCCGGGACAAGCTTCGCCGCCAAATTCGTCAGGACCATCAAGACCAAGGATCGGGAACAAGTGCGGGAGGAGATTCGAATTATGAACATGCTGAGGCATCCGAAGCTTCTTCTTCTGGCCGCTGCTTACGAGAGTCCTCGAGAGATCGTTATGATCACCGAATAGTAAGCAGCCGACGAAATTCTTCGCTGATTCTTCCAGTTTCTCATTTATCGACGATCGTATATTCCGGAATTAATCGAACACCGTAAATTCTTTTCCACAGCATTTCCGGCGGCGAATTGTTCGAGCGGGTCGTCGCCGACGACTTCACGCTGACCGAGAGGGACAGCATACTATTTATGAGACAAATCTGCGAGGGCGTCGAGTATATGCACCAGAATAAAGTGGTTCACTTGGACTTGAAGGTAAAACAAGATGCTGTTAAAATTATGTACAGTAATTTGCATTGATGTACGGATATCTTTTAAGATAGAATAAAAATGAAAGATATAGAGAGAAATAAATAGAAATAAATAGAAATGAATAGAAATGAATACTGGGTGTTCCAAAAATGTCTCGCAATCCGGAAATGGCGGGTTCCTCGGATCATTTGAAGCAACTTCTTCCTTAAAAAAATTTTCTCTGATGCATCGTTAAGAAGTTATTAACGAAAAACAGTGACCAATATGAATCTAGTACGGCTGACGCGAGGCGGCCCAGCCAACCAGCGTACGAAGCCCAGTTCCGCTCATTGGCTCGGTCGCCTCGCGCCAACTGAGCTCTCGCCTCTCATTGATCACTGTATTTCGTTAATAACTTGTTAACGGTGCCTCGGAGAAAATTTTCGTAAAGGAAAAAGTTGCTTCGAATGACCTGAGAAACCCGCCACTTTCGTATTGCGAGACATTTTTGGGACACCCTGTAGAAATAAATAGAAATGGATAGAAATGAATAAAAATAAATAATAAATATTATAATAAATAATATTAATTAAATTAATATTATAATAAATATTATAATATTAATATTAAAAATAAATAGAAATAAACAGAAATAAATAGAAGGAAACAGAAAGAAATAGAAATAAATGAAAATAAAAACCTATTGTTTAAAATCATAGTTATTATAATCATTGTCCATTAACTTAGTCTCTCTAACATCTCCAAAAAGAGATCCCAGTTGTTTCGTTCAATACCAAACGAGTTGTAATACCGTTCGAAAAGACGTCCGAACATAAACGCGAGTCACTGTCCGCGAAAACATTCTCTTCTCCCAATTACAATTCCACTTTGGCAACTGTTCGCAGCCGGAGAACATAATGTGCAGAACGCGAACGTCCCATCAGATCAAGCTGATCGACTTCGGCCTCGCGCAAACCCTAAAGCCGGACACACCGATCAGAGTACTGTTCGGCACGCCGGAATTCATTCCGCCGGAAATCATAAGCTACGAGCCGATCGGCACCGAATCGGACATGTGGAGCGTCGGCGTGATTTGCTACGTTCTGTGAGTGCTTGTCGAATTAAGAGAACTGTATTTTTTATACGAGGGCCCGAGGGTGTGCGCCGGACGTTTAAACAACGCTTTAAATCGTTCAGATTAACCGGTTTGTCGCCGTTTATGGGCGACAATGACGCCGAAACCTTCGCCAACATTACGCGGGCGGATTACGACCTGGAAGACGAAGCATTCGACGCGATATCGAACGACGCCAAGGACTTCATCAGCGGCTTGCTCGTCAAGCGAAAGGAGTACGTGATTAGTAGGAATTTTTGATTGATTTTATCTGTCGCGTAACCGATGCTCGCGAATCGTAACGTCACGTACACTCGCCGACAAAAAATTATGAAACGTGTTACACGAACGCGTGTTCCTGGGTGTAGCGAATGCTCTTAACATACGACAAAAATTTTATTTTCTCGTTGCTTTTTGTTTCTTTCTTATTCTTGTTTTAATTTTGTATTTAAAGTTCCGTAATTTTCGTCGGTAAATGTGTATTTGTCCGGCTTTGTTTCTACGGGGTGACCCAAAATACTCGTCTTGCAAATAATTCAAAATAATGTTAAACCGCGTTTTGTTTCTAGGAGAAATTCTGATAATCGAGATCCGACAGTTCTGACAATTTTTACTATTTTATAGATTGCGAATGTCGGCGAGGAAGTGCCTGAAGCACCCGTGGATGGCGCAGCACACAGAAGCTATGAGCAGAATAGCCTTGCCGACAGAGAAATTGAAGAAGTTCATAGTACGAAGAAAGTGGCAGGTAGGAACAAAGGAAAATGTTCGTTGCGTTTGCAGTGGCGTTGCTTTCCGTTTGCATAATCGACGATGATACGTCGCTTCGGCTTTAACGATAGCAGAATTTGTGAGAAATTTTTGGTCTTTTCTAATATTTTTCGAAGCGTATTGTCGAAGCTCGATATTAAATGTTGCATTATTTCCTAGAACACGCCACCAAACCGAACTAAGCTAACTTATCGAGTAGGCTTGCACGAAATGTCGGATTTTCGAATAAAAACTAATCAAAATTATGATTCATTTGTTTCGATAGAATTTCCTCGACGAGCTTTTAATGTAGAAATTCCATTTTCAAAGAAGTTCTGGTTTTCCGAATGAGTAAAATTGAATGAACAATTATATATAATTGTAATCGTTACCGATAGGTAAACATATAACTATAATACAGTAATGTCTCTCTAACTGATGGTCGGATTGCGCACAAAAATGGACAATTTGGGAAGAGGAGACACGATTATTCTATCCTTGCGATTTATTTTTATAGTTATAAATTGTCCACAATTATAAAAACAAGCCGCGAGGCTCGAATAATTGTATCTCCTCTTCCCAAATTATCCATTTTAGTGGACAATCTGAGCGTCGGTAAGGGAGACATTACTGTACGCGGAACAACGAATAGTCCTCGCGCGAAAAGAAGGCGCCTTTGCGCTTATATTCCCCCCACCCCCACATTTATTTAGCTGCCGCACTGCCGTGGCACTCGATCGCTATTGGCCGAGAACGGCAGCGAAAATCGTCGTCGGTCAATTCATATTATTCGGGAAGCGCGAAGAGATTCGATTATTTCATAATTTTTACAGTAATGTCTCTCTAATTGACGCTCAGATTGCGCACAAAAATGGACAATTTGGGAAGAAGAGATACAATTGTTCGAGCCTTGCGGATTATTTGTATAGTTATAAATCATCCACAATTATAAAAACGAGCCGCGGGGCTCGAATAATAGTATCTCCTCTTCCTAAATTGTCCATTTTAGTGGACAATCTGAGCGTCGGTAAGGGAGACATTACTGTAATTAGAAGTCATATATTATTTTTTATAGAAATAACATATTATTTCTAATATAGAAATACACGAACATAGGATTTTGTTAAGTTCTCGTTTAAACATAGCTACAAACATAAAAGCTGCTTCAAGTTTATAATTATGGACAAACAACAAAGCATAAGCAGGGTGACAAACATTTACAATAAAAGTCCGACATTTCCTGCGCGCCGGTCCGACGCATAACGACCCTAATACCAGCATGGTTTGACCGAATGGTGTGCTTGTGTGTTTCCGTTTGTTGCAACAGAAAACAGGAAACGCCATTCGTGCGCTTGGAAGAATGGCAATCCTATCGGCGAACAACCGAAGAAGTCCTACGGCGACGGTGGAGTCTTCGCCGACGTCGGAGCCGTCGTCGAATCCGATCGATTGTCCGCGGACGATCGACGGGGATCGATCGTCGGCCGACGGGCCGAGAAGATACGTCGTCGAGAGCAGAGCCGAGACCAGCCCGAGCCCGAGCCCGAGCCCGAGCCCGGCGGCGGACGCCGCAAAGAGAAACGTGTATTCCTTCTGTTACAAGACGGAGGTGAGCATCTTTCCGGAGGAAACGTTAGACGCTGGACGAAAGATTGAAGCGTCGTCGGACCTTGACGGGTCCAGCTTGAAAAACGAACCTCCGAGGGACCTCGCGAGATCGTGTTCATGGGAAACTGAGACCGGGGGGGACCCGGAAACTGACACCGTCGGTCGTCACCACGAGGAGAACACGGCGGACCGAACAGCCGTTTCCGCGGAGGAGTCAGTTTCTGCGGAGGAAACGCTCGGAGAGGGAATGGAGATGATCACGGAGTACCAAACGGAGGAGTCGATCCTGATCAAGGAGGATACGTCGATCCTCGGAACCGTCCGTTTCGAGGAGAAGCGGCTGAGTAACTTGGAATACGAGGAGACGAGGGACTACGGCAGCGTTCGGGAGGAGCTGCTGAAATCGAAGGTCGAGGACGAGGCCGGCAATTCCGAGTCGTTCTCGACGTTGCCCGTTCGGAGAGAGCTCGATCGAGAAGAGATCGTCTCGGAGGAGAAGGATCGAAACGAGAAATTGGACCGCGAAGCGGGCACGATCTCCCAGAAATCTCGGAGGGTCTTCAGAGGCGATTCTCGGGACTCGGGAATCGGCGATTGCTCTTCGAATCTGTCCGCTTCTCTGCAACACGTCAACGAGATCGGTATCTCGTCGATCAAGGAGGAGGAGGATAGCGAGAACAATAATGGTAACGCGAGGGATGTCTCGAAACATCTGGAGCACCGCAAGACGTTCGAGAAGATAGCCGACACGCCGGAGAATAGTCCCGCTGCTGTGACAATGAGTGGTGTGACCAAAGCTTCACGTGATTTTAATCGGCATGAAGGTGTGTCTACTGCGCGGTTTGCTTTTCTGACAGCTTCACCTGTGGTTTTTATCAAATATATATACAGGGTGTCCCAAGAATGTCTCGCAATTCGGAAATGGCGGGTTCCTCGGATCATTTGAAGCAACTTTTTCCTTTACAAAAATTTTCTCCGAGGCACCGTTAACGAGTTATTAACGAAAAACAGTGACCAATAAGACTCGAGTACGGCTGACACGAGGGGGCCTAGCCAACCAGCGCACGAAGCCCAGTTCCGCTCATTGGCTCGGTCGCCTCGCGTCAGCCGAGCTCGTCTCTCATTGGTCACTGTTTTTCGTTAATAACTCGTTAACGGTACCTCGGAGAACATTTTCGCAAAGGAAAAAGTTGCTTCAAGTGACCTTAGGAACCTTCCATTTCCGGATTGTGAGACATTTTCAGGACACCCAGTACATACAGTAAATTCTCCTTAATTGATGCTCAGCTTGGAAACGAAAATGGACAATTGTTTCGTATCAATCGTCGTACACGTGTTCGTAATTCCAGATTCCACCGAAATTGAGGACCCGCGGCTGCTAATCGGTCGGATCCGAAGCAAGTTCGTGCCAACCGGCAACGTGAGTCGCACAGCGAAATTGTTCGAGAAGGAGGCAGCAGCGTCGAAACCACCGGCGACCATAAATCCAGTGGCGCAACGCGCGTACCCCACTGTCCCCGTGACCGCTGCGAAACCTCACAACGAGAGGGTGCAGAAAGCGTTTGCATTCTGGAACAAATAATCGAGACGAAAAAAACCAAGTTCACGGGTGGCACTCAAGCGCGTTAGCAGATAGTGGATTTCGAAAATGGGCGCGTTGCGACGCGTCGGGACCGCTTTTCAGCTGTCTTCCGTTTGAAACTCGTATCGATGAGATTATTAACGATAATTGATTTTCGAAATCGCACACTTCTTACCAAACATTTATCCGATTGTCACGCGCGATTTCACCGTGTTGCGATTTCACCGCGACGATCCGCGTTTTAGAAATTAAGCGTACCGTTACAGTCACGACAGACAAAGTATTTATTTAAATAATTTCTATCAGCCCCGCGTCTTGTCTCGACGCCTACGGGGGTCTCGCGACAACGTTTTTATGCTACTCGGATCCCGTTTCCGGTTACATACTTTGTAATCGACCCAATCGAATTATTGTTGCGACGCAACGTCGATTAACCCTTTGAGCGCTGAGTTGCCCGACGTTGAGCGTGCGCCATGGACCGCCCACTCGGTACGAAAAAGCCTACCGTGGGCTGCGTACTTTTTACGAAAGAGCGCAAATTGAGCAGACTGAATTTTCATCGCAAGGTATATATCGATTGTAACCGAAATAAATTATGCGATGACCTCGAAAGCCTCGATAACCGTTTAATACATTGAGCAACGATAACACAAACGATATAACAGTGATAAATTATATCTTTTAAATTGAAAATTTCATAATTTTATATCGCGTGGTAAATCTCGAAGCAGGGTTCGATACGTAAGCCAATGTTACATTTTTTGCGTTCGTAACGCGAGTCGGTTCCGCGATTATTTTTAGTGCAAACAGCGCATTCGCGTAGCGAAGAATGTTTTTTTATTTTCTTTAGTTACGCAGGATGCAGGGAAATGCCTCTCCGTTAACCGAAATGGAAAGTCGTTCGAACGAGCTCTTCCTCCTTTAGTCTCTACTCTATGCGGTGGGTATTCTCGCAAAATATCTTTTATGAGAAACGGATGAAATTTTTCAAATGTGTCAGTTTTATTATTAGCATTTTTATAAAGAATATACGCATGGTATGTAGCGAGGTTTAAGAGGTGGAAGAAATATTTTCTATACCGTTTTGTGCTTTTTCAAACGCGGCGAAGCGAACTCAAAATCGTATCGATTTTATCAACTGCGCCTATCGAGGCATCGTAGTCTGCTACATACTTTGATTTTCAAATCAAAATCGAACGGTTATGCGAAAACGCATATATGGGTTCGTAGCCAAAATCGAATGGTTGTGTGAGAACGCATATATGGGTTCATAGCGCTTAAAGGGTTAAGAGCGATCGGATGTTCGATTTTAAGATGTAACGTTTCGCGTGGACGAGACGATTCGGTGATTCCTGAGGTGTTCCTCGCACGCGCGAGGCATTTCGGACGTTCGATTCGCGAACGATGTTACGCGGGCGGACGCCATTTCGGTTTCTCGACGCGTGTAAATAGCTGTCGATGACATTTTACAGAGACGTAGCGGTGTAACAATGTACTTACTACTTCACTTCTATTTGCACCTTTTAGTTTTCTTGCGAGCATACGGAACCGATTACATGTATTATTATTGTTGTAAGTTATACGTGAATAAAACAAAAAGGCAATAAAAAATGTGTACCCTGGCTGACCGTGTTGTAATCCGACGTCTATGATCGTGTCGAATTTAACTTTATGTTAAACATATATATGTACAAATCAATTGATTATTAACAATTGATAAGAACCAAAGAAACGATTGAGATTGATATAAAAGCAAAAGGAGCGATTAACGTTAATAATACAAAACTTTATTGTAAACAGCGACCGCGGATCGCATTCATCTCTCACAAAAATAAGTAGAATCAATTGTAAAGGAATAGAAATATTTGTGAAATTGAAAAACACAGCCGGACCCATATTCGGCTCGTTGTAATTACTAAAGACAGAAATAAGTGACTCGCGGTTCATGCGGACAATTTTTCTTCCGTAGAAAAATCCGCGGGATCCAGTCGTTGCTTCGCAGTCGGTGAAAATGTATTCGTTACGAACTGAAAATGTGTGGCTTCATAGAAACCATCACGGATTCATCGCCGATCTCCAAATACCTAATATCGTTCTCCGTCACAGGCTCCCAGATGACTTTGATGTGCTCGTCGAGGCACGGCGTAGGATTTCTATGCGAAAAATATTTATTCCACAACAACGCCGGAAATTAAACTCGTACGATTCAGCTTGTCGCTCTAAAGGACGCTCACCCTGTTTTACCGAAATTGGTCCACATGGTAGTTAAACGTTCTATCATCGTTCTATCCTTCGTTCCTACCGCTGGTGGTTCCGGATCGTCGGTTCTCAGGGAAGCCAGATAAAACAGATACGCCATTTCATCGACGTGCGATGCTCCTGAAACGTTCGTTCGTTCGTTAACATACGTTTTTAAGTTGCAAGCGTGCAGAACGTAGCCGAAATGATTCGCGATCTTTCAAGAGGCTAACCTCAAAATTTGAAACTATTAAATTCATTGACTTCGCGAATATTAGAATCATTTATTTAAAAACCGTTGAACGATTGTCAGTTGGCGTTAATGATAAAAATTAAATATAGGAGATTTAACCCTTTCGGTACGAGCGCCGGATATATCCGGCGCTCGGCCACACAGGTGCTGTCTCTTATACACATCTAGACGTGTATAAGAGACAGCCACTGTGCTATGTGCGCATTTTCGGCGCGGCACCCCGTACAGTGGGAATGTCACGACTGACAGCGCGCTTGTACCGAAAAGGTTAAGAGCTGTCTCTTATACACATCTAGACGTGTATAAGAGACAGCCACTGTGCTATGTGCGCATTTTCGGCGCGGCACCCCGTACAGTGGGAATGTCACGACTGACAGCGCGCTTGTACCGAAAAGGTTAAGAGCTGTCTCTTATACACATCTAGACGTGTATAAGAGACAGCCACTGTGCTATGTGCGCATTTTCGGCGCGGCACCCCGTACAGTGGGAATGTCACGACTGACAGCGCGCTTGTACCGAAAAGGTTAAGAGCTGTCTCTTATACACATCTAGACGTGTATAAGAGACAGCCACTGTGCTATGTGCGCATTTTCGGCGCGGCACCCCGTACAGTGGGAATGTCACGACTGACAGCGCGCTTGTACCGAAAAGGTTAAGAGCTGTCTCTTATACACATCTAGACGTGTATAAGAGACAGCCACTGTGCTATGTGCGCATTTTCGGCGCGGCACCCCGTACAGTGGGAATGTCACGACTGACAGCGCGCTTGTACCGAAAAGGTTAAGAGCTGTCTCTTATACACATCTAGACGTGTATAAGAGACAGCCACTGTGCTATGTGCGCATTTTCGGCGCGGCACCCCGTACAGTGGGAATGTCACGACTGACAGCGCGCTTGTACCGAAAAGGTTAAGAGCTGTCTCTTATACACATCTAGACGTGTATAAGAGACAGCCACTGTGCTATGTGCGCATTTTCGGCGCGGCACCCCGTACAGTGGGAATGTCACGACTGACAGCGCGCTTGTACCGAAAAGGTTAAGAGCTGTCTCTTATACACATCTAGACGTGTATAAGAGACAGCCACTGTGCTATGTGCGCATTTTCGGCGCGGCACCCCGTACAGTGGGAATGTCACGACTGACAGCGCGCTTGTACCGAAAAGGTTAAGAGCTGTCTCTTATACACATCTAGACGTGTATAAGAGACAGCCACTGTGCTATGTGCGCATTTTCGGCGCGGCACCCCGTACAGTGGGAATGTCACGACTGACAGCGCGCTTGTACCGAAAAGGTTAAGAGCTGTCTCTTATACACATCTAGACGTGTATAAGAGACAGCCACTGTGCTATGTGCGCATTTTCGGCGCGGCACCCCGTACAGTGGGAATGTCACGACTGACAGCGCGCTTGTACCGAAAAGGTTAAGAGCTGTCTCTTATACACATCTAGACGTGTATAAGAGACAGCCACTGTGCTATGTGCGCATTTTCGGCGCGGCACCCCGTACAGTGGGAATGTCACGACTGACAGCGCGCTTGTACCGAAAAGGTTAAGAGCTGTCTCTTATACACATCTAGACGTGTATAAGAGACAGCCACTGTGCTATGTGCGCATTTTCGGCGCGGCACCCCGTACAGTGGGAATGTCACGACTGACAGCGCGCTTGTACCGAAAAGGTTAAGAGCTGTCTCTTATACACATCTAGACGTGTATAAGAGACAGCCACTGTGCTATGTGCGCATTTTCGGCGCGGCACCCCGTACAGTGGGAATGTCACGACTGACAGCGCGCTTGTACCGAAAAGGTTAAGAGGTACAGTAGTGTCTCCCTAACTGACGCTCAAATTGTGCACAGAAATGGACAATTTGGGAAGAGAAGATACGATTATTCGAGCCTTGCGGCTCCGTTGTTGACAATTCGTAACTATAAAAAACGAATCGCAAGGCTCAAATAATCGTATCTCCTCTTCCCAAATTCTCCATTTTTGTAGACAATCCGAGCGTCAATCAGAGAGACATTACTGTACTGTGAAATATTTGGCGGATATCGGCGAGAGATTTTAAACATTTTCGAATCTGATTCCAACGATTCTGAGTCTGCGAGTAAACTCGGTATACGAGTAGAATGAGTATAATACGCTCTGAAAATTGAACCGGTTCCCGCGATATTCCGTGTATGAAATTTTGATCGCGAATCGTTCGAAAAGCTGGATTACCCTTGATGACACGTTTGACCAGCGCGTCCGTGTGCGTTATCTGAGTACCGACGTACGTGTACACATAAAAGTAAGTGGGCGGTGTCGATCTCTTCACCCGGTCCTCTACAAATATTTTCGCAGGAATGCCGAAATAACAGTCGCTTACGTAACGCACGAATTCGTCCATGTTATCCATGGTAATCGGCATTCCATTTAAATAGGTTTCTTTAACGGTCGCGTACAATTTTTTGGTTTTCTCAGGGCTGAGATTTTTCAACGAAGCCAATTTTTTCACCGTTAGCGGTAACCAGTCGTTGAACCTCCTTATCGACGGCGGCGTCGTATCTGGAAGATGAAACAAATAGTTGTGAACACCTTCTTCGACCATTCGATGCTGGACGATTTAAGTACAGTAATTTCTGCCAGAAATGTTCGGAGGTCGACTAGCATGCCGATGTACATTAATACATACAAGATGTTCCAAAATTATGGTACTTCTGGGAAATTAGAGATTACTGAGGTCATTCGAAGCAACTTTTTCCTTTACAAAAATTTTCTCCGAGGCATCGTTAACGAGTTATCAACGAAAAAGAGTGACCAATGAGAGGCGAGCTCGGCTGGCGCGAAGCGACCGAGCCAATGAGCGGAACTGGGCTTCGTGCGCTGGTTGGCTGGGCCGCCTAGCGCCAAGGCGAGCTCGCCACTCATTGGTCAACTGCTTTTCCTCAATAACTCGTAAACGATGCCTCGGAAAAAATTTTTGTAAAGGAAGAAGTTACTTCGAATCACCTCAGGAACTCCTCATTTTCCGCAAATGCCATAATCTTGAGACATCCTATATAACTACATAGTAATACATAGAATAAGAACGATGACTTAACTATTTTATTTCTAATCTTTTGCCACGATTCAAAGGTAATTCGGAGGCCAAGCAGACCACTTTGCGTCGTCTTCCGTCGATCCTTAGCATCGTCATGGCGATAAATTACATAGGCGTAGGACTAGCACAGGGAAATTCACAGCAACCCGAAATTTGGCATTTCCGGGAGAAATTACTGTATTCGACTGTTCGAACTAAATCCTCGAATAATCGAGGATTCGATTGTCCCAACATTTCAATTATACCAACATTGAAATGTTCGAGCATATGCGGTCGATACGAACAGCTGAATAAACATGCACCATATTATACGGACCACCTTTCATAAACATCAGAAACTCGTGCGACGTGTATCCAACAATAACAGGAACAGTCGTGTCCATGGTGATCATCTTTTCCAGAGGAAACGGCAAGACTGGATCGTCCGCCATGTAGTCGGGATTCAGTCCAAAGGGGAGGTCTAACGCTTTTAGTTCCTGCAAGAAGTACGCGAGAATAACAATTATTTCACCTCGTGTGCTCTTATGCCGGCAATAAGTACGTTTGCCAACGCAAATGCTATAATCGTCTGTAAATTGGCTCCCCACTACAGTAATGTCTCTCTAATTGACGCTCAGATTGTTCACAGAAATGGACAATTTGGGAAGAGGAGATACGATTATTCGAGCCTCGCGGTTTATTTTTATAGTTATAAATTGTCCACAATTATAAAAACGAGCCACGAGGCTCGAATAATCGCTTCCCAAATTGTCCATTTTTCTGCACAATCTGAGTGTCGGTTAGGGAGACATCATTGTACAGTACAATTCCATTCACCGTAACGCGATCCTCCTCTGGACTTATTTTAGCTTGCGACAGGATCAATTTGAAATTTATACGTGTCGATTTTCAATCTTCAAAACGTCGCGACTGCTTTTATTACAAATTCTTCCCCAATCTTCTTACATCGGACAAGCAAAGCTGCTCTTAGACAATGACAGTGATACATGCGCATACTTGCTAACGTGCTTCCATATGTTTCTGTCAGTCATCTAGAAACACGTGTAACTTGTCGAGGCACGAATGTGAACATGCGAAAAAATTTCCTCGAACAAGAAAATGCGAACAAGAAAAAATTTCCTCGCGTTACGGTAAAAGCCATTCTACTGTGTCGTGGGGCGCATCGATAATTATAATTATTGATAATTGAGCCACATTTATTTTGAAAGTGGCATAAGTCACTTTTTCAAAAAAATCGAGTTAATGGTAACGCTAATTACAATTGAACGGTATCTTTTCATTTAAAAAGAAAAAAAAAGAAAAAAAAAGTGACTTATGCCACTTTAAAGATAAACGGCTCAATTATCGATAATATAGTATTCCAAGAAAACTCGTTTGCCTCGACTTCGAGAATGCCTTCGTAAGCCTTCACGATTTTCTTGGCGTCGATGGTGCGCAGGTATCGAAGAACTTCTTCGGGATCGGTGGAATCCTTGCCGAGCAGCTTGGCGAGCTTGAAACAGCGCTCCGGTCGGCTTTGATTCATAACCCACGAACAATTCAGCAATCCGCTCTGTAGGATCGCTTTGTGGAACAGTCCTGCGGAAACGAGACAACGATACGGACAATTCGTGGGATTCTTATCGGTGGTTTAAACATCGTTTATCGCGATTTCGCGCGTAGGGTAAGCGCATTCGAACTTTGACAGAGAAGATAAGACCTTTTACGCCAATAAATTGACAACTCGAGCTATATTTATTATTCTTGAACTTGAATATTTACTTTCCTCGAAATGTTGGATCTCTGAAAGCACGAATTTCGTTAAAAAGCGTAACATAAAGAAACCATACGCGTGCATATATTATTGCGATTATGTATCTATTACTGCGAGCCAAATACTGTGGACGTTCCGATTACAGCGCGTCAAATACTGCGGACGTCCGATTACTTCGCGTCAAATACAGCGGACATCCGATTACTGCGAGCTAAATACTGCGGACGTTCCGATTACTGCGCGTCAAATACTGCGGACATCCGATTACTGCGCGTCAAATACTGCGGACGTTCCAATTACTGCGTGTCATACCTATCGTAGTAATCACAGTTTTAATTAATTTATTGGCTTTTGATTTTTTTTATATATTTTTATTATTTATAATTTTTTATATATTTAATATTATCAATTTATGATATACAAGTAATAAATTGATAATATTAAATACATAAAAAATTATGAGATTCATTTTTAGAAGATTACACGCTATAAAATGTTAGATTTTATTACTTTTATCAAATACCGCAGTATTTGGGGCATCCGCAGCAATACCCACACTTACTCTAGCAACTGGTCTTTTTCGGTCGATCGACAAATGAATTCGCGTTACATACCTCGTGCTCGCGGCGACACTGATAATGCGTGGCACAACACTCCTCCGGTGCTAGCGCCAAAAACTGTAACGTTGTTCGGATCACCACCGAAATTCGCGATGTTCTCCTTGACCCATTCCAGAGCAGCGATCAAGTCCTTCAGTCCTTGGTTGCCCGGTGCTAATTTGTGGCCCAGATTCAAGAAACCTATGGACATCCCGTTGCAGGAGGATTAATTATAAAATAAAGAATGGATTAATTATAAAATAAAAAATGGGTTAATTATAAAATAAAAATATACGAAAATGTAAAAAAAAGCCACTAGTACTAGAACAAATATTTGTTCTAGTACCAAGTACTAGTGTTTTTGTTTACATTTTCTTACATTTTCTTAATAATAGGTAAGTAACATTTTTTTAGTATTTTCCCCGTTAAATAGTTATTATAATCGTGCCCAAATACTGCTGATCGTCAATTCAGGGAAACAATATTTGTTCTAGCACCAAGTACTAGTATTTTCGTTTACATTTTCGTACATTTGTTTAATAATAGGTGAGTAACATTTTTTAAATATTTTCCCCGTTAAATAGTTATTATACTCGAGCCCAAATACTGCTGTTCGTCAATTCGGGAAAACAATATTTGTTCTAGCACCAAGTACTAGTATTTTCGTTTACATTTTCTTGAGTAACATTTTTTAAATATTTTTCCCGTTAAATACTTATTATACCAGCCCAAATACTGCTGATTGTCAATTCCAAAAAACGTGGCCGTCGTATCACGATTATCTCAATTTCCGTGTCGAGGATTTTCGTTTATCGGTGCAATCGAATGATGCGCGCGATCACCGACCTTGTGTCAAGGCAACGGGCGAATCTGGCGCGATTAAACGAAACTCACCGAAAGCGCCGAGTCTGTGATTAGTCGAAACAACCACGACGTCCTTCGCCAGCAAATAGTCAGGCTGCTTCTCTAGAAAGGTGGCACTTCCTACACGGAACGCGCCTCCATGGATCCAGAACATCACTGGTTTACATTCTTGGAGCGAATTGGTGTAAACGTTTAGATAAAGACAATCCTCTTGGCCAGTTACTCTCTCGACATCGAGTTCGTGTAATTGCGTGCAACGCCTCCCATGAGGTATCCGAACGTCCTTGACATCGGTCCATGGTGCCGGTGGTTGCGGATCCTAATTGTCATAAATTTCGTTCAATCGTTTCAATAGAGATAAAGCGTAACAATTTGAAGCTTTGCACCGATTTTCATTACAGTTTTATTCGCATAAATGTACAGTAAATTCTTCCCAATTTTATTTCATAAATTTTATTTTCTAAAGAAAAATGAACAATTTGAGTCTCGCGGCTCATTTTTATAGTTGCCGATTGTCAATTATATTGTGAAAATTATAAAAACGAGGTGCGAGGCTCGAACAATTGTATCACCTCTTCCCAAATTCTCCGTTGTTGTTTACAAGCTGAAGGACAATTAGGGAGAATTTACTGTACTCGATCCGATTCGCTGATAAACAGACTGCGAATTTTTTACGCATTTACGACAACAATTCGTGGATGAAATCGGAAACGAAAAATTATTTAACACGGAGATACCGGGTCGCCATTAATCACGATTTATTAAAATAGGTAACGAAAGAAAAATAATATTTTTGTTTAGCTCTGTCACCTTGCAATTAACGCCGACAGCTTTTATTATGGAAGCTGGTAAATATTGATTTTATTCGGCGGCAGACACGCGATATCTGTCTTCCACTTTATCTAATGTACATGTGCTATTTACGTACACATTAGCTGTTTTGTCTCGCTTGCTATAGGCAGAAGGAAATGCATTTTCACTGGGAATTGTAACTATTCAAAAATATTAATTTAAAATTAACGATTAATCATTTTCCTAGAAAATAGTGTGCTTTCGACATTGAAAGAAGATCTATCGCTACGATTTTAAGTCAAATTGAAAAGTAGAACTACAGAGTAAATTCTCCCAAATTGTCCATTTTTGTGTACAAGCTAATTAATCAATTAGAGGGAGAATATACTGTGGTAAGAAAAGTCCCATGAAAGACGCTCAAAATTTCAGGTTGATCGGTCCAGTATCTTCGTGTTAAACCTTTCATAGGCACTGAGAACTAAGCTTCCCATCCACTTGAAATGTGCTGCCATCTATATACAGGGTGTCCCAAAAATGTCTCGCAATCCGAAAGTGGCGGGTTCCTCTGGTCATTCGAAGCAACTTTATCCTTTACAAAAATTTTCTCCGAGGCACCATTAACGAGTTATTGACGAAAAACAGCGACCAATGAGAGGCGAGCTCGGCTGGCGCGAGGCGACCGAGCCAATGAGCGGAACTGGGCTTCGCGCGCTGGTTGGCTGGGCCGCCTTGCGTCAGCCGTACTCGATTCTTATTGGTTATTTTTCGTCAATAACTCGTTAACGGTGCCTCGGGGAAAATTTTTGTAAAGGAAGAAGTTGTTTCAAATGATCTGAGAAACCTGCTAGACACCCTGTATAAGTCCCACCACCCCTAATTTTAAGAGGTGAAAAATGCAAAATACCAGGAAAGCGAATAACAGCTGTATTACCATATGATAAAATTATGCTAAGTGAATATTCCAATTTCTTGAAAATTCATATTATGCCCACGAGAGGATTAATCGTCGTTTAAACGTTAAAATAACGCGATTTAAATTTCGTTCTTAAACGCCGGATACGCTCGCACCGTCGGTAACGTTGAAAACACTGCGAGAGTTCTAACTTCAGACTTTACATTTTGACAGCACGTTAATCGCGCGAGAACGTGCGAAATCAGTTTGTCTCGACGATATATTAAAAATATATTTTTAAAAAATCGATGCAGGCGATCTATTACCTTGAATCTGAGATCGCCGACAGGAGGAGCAGCGAACGGTATCTCGTGAAACGCGATGAAAGAGCGACCAAGACCGAGGACGTTTTCCTGAACGGCGCCTCGCAACTTTCCCTGCTTCACCGTGACTATCGGATCGGACATTGTCGACTGGAGCCTAATCAACTTGTTCACAACGGACCACTGTGTTCTGCGGATAGATTTGGTGCACGACGTGAATCGCGTCTGCATCGCGATCTTATATATACATATTTGCTTATCGTGAGAGAGCTTGGATATCAGGAACGGTGACGTCAGACCGATACACAGTTCGTAAACGGGACAGCTTCAGGGGGACCGTGCGCCGCGAAGATCGGTGTCAACAACGTATCAAACGTGATCCGACCATAATAAATGAATGGGCAGGTTTCGTTTATCCGTTAGCTACATTGTTGACGCGCGCGACGATGATTTCGGCAGAATAATGTAAATGCGAAAGATTTATGGAACGCGGTGGTGCATAAATTTCACGAACAACAACGACGACGATGTCTGCGCGCCTGCGAAACGTCGCCAATTCCACGCGAAAATTATGATCAACTTTCCAGGACAACGGACCTCGCTAAATAATTTTACGCCCGGCGGATGCAGAGTCAAATGCGAGCCAAGAGTGTTTAGCTACAAAATTAGCCGTTAAATTATTTGATTTTTGATCGCACACGGAAAGAGAAAGCGTACTTTTCACTCACGCGTCATTGTAGCAAGAAAGGAAACAGAGACTCGTGGAAACTGAAAAATTAGCCATTAAATCATTTAACTTTTAATCGCACACGGAAAGAGGAAGCGTACTTTTGACTCACGCGTCGTTGTAGCAAGAAAGGAAACAGAGACTCGTGGGAACTGCAAAATTAGCCATTCAATTAATTGATTTTTAATTGCACACGGAAAGAGAAGAGAAAGCGTACTTTTAACTTACGAGTTGTTGTAGAAAGAAAGGAAAGAGAGGCTCGTGGGTCACGCGTGACCGTGCGTCCGCCGGCGCTAAGTTAACCGTTTCTACATTTGCAGAAAACCTAACCGCGTGGAAACAATGCTCGCGATACTATCGTCCGTATTGCTCGCGATCCGAGCCTTGAAATCCGATGAAATAGATCACGGCGAATCGTTTAGGTTAATCGTTCCTACATCTGCAGGAAAGCTAACCGCGTGGAAACAATGCTCGCGATCCGTCCCTTGAAATCCGACGAGGATGAAATAGATCACGGCGAATCCGTTTAGTGACTGAACATTTTCAATACCTTCGTGGTTCGCTTCGAACTTCGTCGCACACTTCGGGTAAGTGACAAGTGCCGAATGCCAAATGCGCGCGCGATGCCGCGCGATCCTAGACGAAATTAATGATCCGTTAGTTATTCAGAATCTTGAATGCTTCTTGAACATTCTTGCGGTGTTAAATGAATCGACCGACTTCATGATTTTTCATAATATTTCCTTATGCATGCGATGCGCTTACATTTTTGCCGCAACGGCGAACGCAAAAACATCATTTTCAAACTGGTAGAATCCCCCACCACTCTGGAAATATTATACATTCCTGTTTATTTATGGACGAATTGATTTCTAGATTCTTTGATTTCTTGTCGCGAGGTTTACTTGGATTTTCCGACGGTTCTAGAATCGCGACATCGTGACTTCGATGCATTTGGAAATTTCTGAGATTCAGGGACATTTGTAGCTGTGCCAGTTAGCGACTAATACCAAAAAGTAATCTTTCCATCGGTTTTCATAACATTGAATACGCAAATAAACAACCGCATAGAGATCCGCGGTCTGTGGGCAATAAATTGCTTACTTTTATCAGATTGTGTATCAATGATTTGACAATAACGATAACAAGTACAACAACACTTGTAGTGCGATATTTGATCTTCGAGGATTCCGAGCTTTCGAGTGTGACTTCGACTTCTCGAAATGGAGAAGTCATTCCGATCGAATTAACAAATATTGTTTTCTTCGCGCATCGCGCTCGCTTATACCCGGGAATATAATGGAAAATGAATCGATATTTATTCGTATGTATCATTCTTAGCGGTCGGTCCATCGGTTTTGTTAGTTTAATCGATAATAACCGTCCACTCGCTGCTTATACAGGGTGTCCCAAAAATGTCTCGCAATCCGGAAATGGCGGGTTTCTCGGAAAAAATTGCTTCAAATGACCTGAGGAACCCGCCACTTTCGGATTGCGAGACATTTTTGGGACACCCTGTACATCTCACACGCGCTTGTTGCATTCTACTTAATCATCGAATTAAGTGTCGCGTAACAGACCTAACCGAATAGTTTCCATATGCAGATACAGTTTTATATTCGGTTTTATATTTCATATCTGTATTTGGTTATATATTTTTATTATATATACATTATATTATATATACATTTATGTTTTATATTTTACTTATTTCCTTCCCACTGTTTAAAATGAATGTACGAAGGAACATCGTGATAAATTAAAATAAAAAAGTGGAGTATCGTGATAAGTACACAAATGGAATTGTTCATCAACATTATTTGTCGTTCGACTGCACATATTTGTGCAAAAAATAAAACTGTTCTAATTGTAAGAAATAGAAGATAAACGGTAGATATTACAATTCACCATTTCTCTTGATAATTTTAACAAGTCGAACATAACGTAAAAATATTCACAAATTTTTCTAATCTATTTATCGTTCTCTCTCTCTCTCTCTCTCTCTTTCTCTCTTTCTATTTTATCTACCGACTGTTGTCCTTCATACATAAAAGTCGCAATCCACTTGTCATCATTTTTAAACTCCTCGCGTATCAAATAATAAAAGAAATTACATTACTTTAATTCAGGGCAGCAATGTGATCGGAATAAAAAATACGATATGTGGGCTGCTGTGAGATCGACAGTTATCAAAAATTAATCGGTGGTTATTTGTCTTCTTTTTTTTTTGTTTATTCGCCCTCGTATTTATGAAATGGTTGGTAAACATCTAAAAATAAAAATTCCCACGTAAACGTCTATAGTCTAGTGATGACACAGCATGATCACAGACAGTCAAAGTTCCATTCGAATTTCGACGTGTTTCGTAAGAAATAATTACAATTCTATTACAAACGACTAACGTAAAATACGTACAATCCGCCGAGGACACGAGGTGACGCTGAGGACATACAACAAAACGTATCGATATCCATTCATTTACACTTTTTATTTCCTTTAATTTTTTTTACACACAAAAAGAAAGTTACATACACCTTTATTTTCCATCATTTGTGAGTAAACAATGTATAACGACAAAAGACGATGGAAAATACAAATCCGGCTAACTTATATCTCATATTAACGGGGGTATTTTCATATCACAAACTATTTAATCTTTCGTTTACTATACGTTAAACGTGAAATTTGATTTTTCCTCGAAGATATGGGGTCCCATAATTGACATCTTCGACTCTTCGTCAATCTCCAAGTAATTCAATTTGTCCTTTCTCACCGGCTCCCAAATAACCTTGACGCAATCGTCGAGAGGTGGGGTAGGATTTCTGGATTAAAAGTACCGTAATGTCTCTCTAATTGACGCCCAGATTGCGCACAAAAATAAACAATTTGGGAACAGGAAATACGATTATTCGAGCCTTGCGGTTTATTTTTATAGTTACAAATTGTCCACAATTATAAAAACGAGCCGCAAGACTCGAATAATCGTATCTCCTCTTCCCAAATTGTTCATTTTAGTGGACAATCTGAGCGTCAGTAAGGGAGACATTACTATACTATGCATTATAGGTAAATATAATATAAAAAATATATTATACATAAATATTGCAAATAAATCATATTTGAACTTTACGATCGACATACCCCGTTTTGGCAAAATTAGCCCACATTGTGCATAATCGGTTTATCATAATTCGGTCCTTGGTACCTTCGCTTGGTGGCGCGGCGCTTACAGCAGGGTAATAGAACAAATACGACGTATCATCCTGATGAGTCGTCACTAAAATAAGCATTCGTTACATTTATTTAAAAAAAAAAAAGACGGATATAACAAGTTCAACATTTTCACGTCGAAATATTTTTCAAATAATTTTTTGAATTATGAAATTCTTTAAACAGCGTCTCTTATAAGAGATCACAAACACAGAAAGTGAAAAATAATAAACAGTAATTTAATCTAAACGTTTAAAAATAACCTCGAATAAAATAGAAGTTACAAAGTGCATTACATGCGAATTTACGTATCTGCATTTTTAAATATTCTAAATTGTGATTACCGTTGAATATCTTTCGTAGTGGCACTTCGTATGTTTGATTACCAACATACGTAAATATGTAAAAGTACAATGGTTGCGAAGAGTATTTTACTTGATTCTTCGCTAACAATTGCATGGGAATATTACATTTCATGTCGGATGAGAATTCCAAGAAATTAGACAACAAATCTTCGTGTATCGAAGACTGTCCTTCGAAATACCAATTCTTGATAGTTTCCAGAAATTCTTCTGTATCTCCAATTTCAAATTGTTCCGTTTTCAGACAATGTGGATAAAATCGCAGTAGATAATCGGTGGTCAGTGGTAGCTTGTCTTCGAAATCTTCTACAGTGAAAGAAATAACATATTTCAAATGATTTTGTAAATATTATATTAATTTAATACTTTAATTTCATTAAGTCGTGTAAACGGAAAATTACGCTCTATAAATAGCATGATCTCAAGGGTTGTGTAACCGCATATCACAGGAATATTAAAAACAGTTGAAAGTAATTTTTCCTTTGGCAAAGGTAAAACAGGATCATCTGACATGTCATCGTTATTGATATTAACTAAACACGTGAAAGTCGGTAGGTTTTTCAGATTACACTCCTATAAAATAATAAGAGTCGATTAGTAGAAAGATATGGACAAGGTACGGTGAGAACGATATCTTGCCAGTTCCTGTTGAAATCTATATTGGACCGTTACAATATCCTTGGCGGGTAGTTTTCGCAAAATTTTGACTATTTCCTCGGGATCCTTGGTGTTTATGCCAAGTTGTTGCAAAAATTGTCTTATAAATTCAGGTCCGGATGTCATGCAAGGACTTATCAAACATCCACCTGATATAATTGCTTTGTGAATAAGTCCTGTAATCATTTTCAAATTTTAATTAAACAACGATTACCACTCGCACAGTTGTTTATAGCAACGAAAATTGTTTTACCTTTCGCGCGAGGCGACATTGCTAAACAGTGAGCTATAACTGCTCCACAACTACCACCGTACACTGTGACATTGTTTGGGTCACCTCCAAAATTGGCGATGTTCTGCTTGATCCATTCCAAACCAGCAATCACATCTTTCACGCCCAGATTACCAGGTGCAACCTTGTGTTGTAGATTCAAGAAGCCTTCAAAATGTCAATACATTTCTTTTCAATTATTGATCTTAGTTGTTATCAATTATTGGTCTTTAGTTAATTAAACAAAAGTAGTGAGTAGTAATTGCAAAAGAAAAGTAAGAATATCTTTTAATGTCAATACATTTCTTTTCAATAATTGGTCTTTGTTGTTATCAATTATTGATCTTTAGCTAGCTAAACAAAAGTAGTAAGTAATAATTGCAAAAGAAAAGTAAGAATATCTTTTAATATATGGTTTTATGAATATAAATATACAACTAACCGAAAATACCCAATCTGTAATTAAGTGTAACGACGACAACGTCTTTCGTAAGTAGATAATCAGGCCTGAACATTGCATGGCTACCAGATCCTTCTACAAATGCACCGTAGTGCAACCACACTATGACTGGTTTACATCCACTTAGTGAATTAGTATAAACGTTAAGATATAGGCAATCCTCGTCCCCGATGATATGATACTGTTTAGATCCTTGTATACATGCTCTTCCAGTACCTTGGGAAACATCCTTGATACCAGTCCATGGTGCTACTGGTTGTGGATTCTAGGATATAATATAATATAATATAACATGATATAATAAGCAAATAAAATTGCTGCTAATAATTTAATAAATGTTTCTTTAATAAAAATAACATTAGTTCTATTATTATTATACGAAAAAGAAAATGATAATAATAGCTATAAGTTTACATAAAATTTAAATTTAATAATTTCTTGTTTCAAAGTTGAACTAAATTTGGTGAGCATTACCTTGAATCGAAGTTCACCAACAGGAGGAGCAGCGAAAGGTATTTCATGAAAACCAATGTACGGGAAGCCCAGAACACCATCGTGAAGAGCACCCTGTAGTTTTCCCTGCTTAATTGTAATCGTTGGCTTCTCCATTGCTAACGGTTACCTCACCATTTTACCTACTTTTATATATTTGTTTCCACAAATTTATGTTAATATATGAGCATAAAAGTTTTGAAAATAGTCAATTATTTGCCTAATTAGTGATAACAAGTTATTATGCACAATTACGAAGTCAATAGCTACGATGCATATTAGTTATACTATTTAGTTATATATATTATTTATTGATTTATTATTTATTTTAGTTATATATATACTATAGAGAGATTCCATATAATATTTCTATTTTGAAATATTATGACCTTGGAAAAATGATTTTGCTGTTCTCCACAGATGGAGAGCTTATTACCGTTTTTTTAAAGCCAAACATAGAATCGAAATGAACACCTTGCAATGGAAGGAAGGTCACAGCGTGATTCGCCCTTTGATTTGCGAACCATGCTCAGAACCAAAAGATTTTACACTCTGTAACTTTGTTGGTAGTCGAATGAACAATATTAAGTGCTATCTTTCGAGTCGTTTTAAAACAATTTTAAACGCGCACCCATAAATTAACTTCACGTTTATCAACTTCTTATTATGCGAAAACACTATGTTAGAAAGATATGAACGGTGCAAAAGAAAAGTAGATCTTCGAGTTTTAAAATGAGTCCAGATTTATTATTATTTATCATTAAAATGACAAATTCGGCAATTGAGAAATACTAACTGCATCACGTCCACGAAAACAAAGTTACTACTCTTTTAAAAAAAAAAAACGTGAATATAGTCAATATAGATACATGTACATTATAAATATTACATAACAGTGTATATAAATACAATATCAAGTCACATCGTTATCTTCATAAACCATTGTATAAAAAATATAATTCTGTTATTTTAGTACAGGCACTGTGTTGAACGTTTATAGCAGTTTGGTAGTCGTCGTCTAATTAAGAGTTCATTACGTTTGTTTAGGAATGACATATTTTTTTGCTGATCATGCTTCAATTAAAACGAGAGAAAAGATGTTGCATTAATAACTAACGTTTCATCTTATCGAGTATCGGAACAACCATATCGAATGATGGACGTTTCCCCGGGTCTTCGTTCATACAGATCCTAATCAGTTTAGCAAGGTGAGGCGAGATTCCCGGTGGTATACTGACGCGCAATTCTTCGAGAGCAATCTGTAAAAAAAAACAATAAAATTACAATCAAGGTGTAGGGGACAATAAATTTGCTTTGAGTTCACTGAACTAACTTTCATGCCGCATTCCATCGGAGAAAGATCAGCGAACGGAACTTCTCTAGTTGCAAGTTCCCACAATAGAACGGCAAAACTCCACATGTCGCTGGCCTCCAGATTTATATCTGCCGCACGCTTACTCAATGCTTCCGGTGACATCCACGCTGGTTCATAAATGCGACCAACCTCTTGGAATGAGAACTTCGAATCAGCCATATTTACACGAGCCGTCAAATCTTCGTCAATCTGTAACATCACGTTTATTCGTTGCAAACATATTAAAAAATCAAGATCCTTCAATCACTAATATTTAATTTAGAAAACAAAAGTACCATGATATGTTTACTGTTCAAATGAAATCTGCATCTGTTCTGCCTCTCAAGTCCGTGAAGAAATGCCATAGCTCTAGCAACATCGAGAGCAAGTCTCAATGCTCGTGCCGTGTCGACGACTACACCTGTACCCCCGTGTAACAATCTGTGCAAACTACCACGCGCCATGTACTGCGAGACGGTTGCTAATTGCGGTGGTTGATTAACACAGCCAAGAACGGGTAGAACATTCGGATGGGAGAAGATTCTTAACTTTGGAAATTCTTCGTTGAAATCTCTGGAGATCCTCGATGTACATTCACGTATGGTCAAGATCTTCGCTACTATGTCATTATTTTGCCAACGTCCTCGCCAAGTCTCGCCACTTGGTGTAGTTGCCAAAAGAGTGTGCAACAACAAATCTGCCATGTTAATCCCTTTATGCCTTGACAATGTTGCATCTCCTGTATAAAGTGTTTAATGCTGTCATTACGCAGCTAACGTCGTTGTAATCAGTATTTAAAAATCTGTATAAAATAAACTTCCTTACGGCTTCTGGTTTTCAAGCCCAGCCAACTTTGATCCTTGAATTGAATCTTTTTCAAGTCCTGTCCATATTCTACAGCCAGATCTAAAAATCAAAATTATACGATAAAATAGATTGCGACGATCAATCACTTAATAACTTGATATTGTATCTATTCTTATTCATTACGTACCATGTAATCTTTTAGCAAGTAGACCTCTTGCCTTATCCAACGGAGTATCCCCATCTTTATTTGCGATAGATACACGAGCACCTGCTGCCACCAACTCTTCGGCAACAGCTTGATCACCCCAGAAACATGCATAATGAAGGGCAGTGTTCCCATGTTCATTTGTTACATTAACGTCTGCTCGATTTCTGAGCAACTGTAAATTTGTAACATTAAAACCTGTTCTACCACTAAGCAACAGTAAATTTATAACCGATTAAGTTTGTTATATGGTAAGCATCTTTTACCAGCTGAACTATCTCCTTGTGTCCATGAGCGGAAGCCAGATGAAGAGGAGTATCGTCTCCTCTATTGGTAGCATTTATTCGTGCTCCTCTACTAACTAGTAATTCTGCCAATTTTAGATGTCCCTCTTTACAGCACCAGTGAAGTGGACTAAATCCATGATCGTCGCTGCACATGAATAAAACAAAATTATTATGACATTATCGATGAGGAAACAAATTAAAAAGTAAAAAAGTTACATTATTAATAACTAATTAAACTATAAATACAGCAATCATGCAAGTCCAAAATAATAAAACTGTGGAATTAAAGAAATAAAATGGTTAACAGTTTAAGGAAAGATTAGATAAAAATGAAACTTGAAGATCAAACTTTACTCCGAAAAAAGAAGTTATTTTTGCATTTACCCCTGATTCATGTCATGTTCAGTATCATCCAGCCAAACACGCACTTGCATGGCATTCCCTTCACGACACCATTGAAAAATATCTTCCATTTTTTTGGATTTATCAAATGAAGTAAGAAAGATGTGTAAATACTGCGGCAGAGGAGTGGCAGTGTTCCGTGCTCCACAACACTGGTCGTCATATACTAAATATAACCATATTTCCGCGGAACCGACACTGACACAAAAACTACATAACTTCAATTAGACTACGCGCACAGTTATACTTCTCCGAAGATATTGTCCGATTAAACATTGGAAACAAGACAGCAGATTAATATGTTTGTAATATCGAATAATGTTTAATGGAACAGTTTTGGATGATACCACACACATGCACGATTATGCATGTGACCATATATGACCGGACGGATCACAAACTACCGCAATCAGGACGTGGTTGTGTGGTTACTTCATATGTACTTCCCACATATGCGAGTACTGTACTGCCATAAAAATTGAATGCGGAGAATGGTGACACACGGTATTTTTACAGACTCGAGACTTTTTTGGAATTTGTAATCTTGAGGTCTCCGAATTGCGAAATCTGACATATTGTTTACAGATAAAGTTTCTGTCATTCTAAATCCAGGATCCTATTACTTTATGTTATTTAACGTAGCAGATGAAAAACACAAAAGAATATTGTATAAAAAATTGAGAATATCTGGAAATATACAATGTGCAATAATATTCAATACATATAGGGTATCATGTCAAAGCGAAACTGAAACTATAATTTTGTCAATTTTAATTTCTATTTTATTCTAATTTGTGGAATTACATATTCTAAAAGAATAATTCTATAGAATCAAATACGTGTTTATATATACATATGTACACACACATCTCCCTAGAATTGTTGTTTTGGTATTTCTATACTTCGTGAAGACACAATCATTTATACTTATTGCATTATTTTTATATTACAGAAGACCACGATTGTCAGTAATGGAGGCTTTCAGACTGGTGATGTAAACCCTTCTCTCATTTTAATTGAACTATGTTCCTTATATATCAATCCTGTTGAAATCTCCAATGTAACATACAAAAATATTATAAAAGATAAAATTAAATGTAATTTTCAAATTGTCTTTAAATTCTGTTTCTAGAAATTACAGCTATGTTCACACGTACATTACAATTATCTTCAGAGTTACACAGAGCTACGTTCACAGTGTGATTCCAGTTTTGTTGTTGCACTGTTCTGTTATGTACAAAGTTATGTTATTTGTGAAGTAGACATTTCTTTCCTTTTTTTTTAAAGAAACTTTGCAACTTATGATCCAGTGTAAGGAAAAAGTAAATAGATAATTAATACAACTCTACCTCGCATACTCGATTTCAATATTTACGTTTGTTTACACATCTTTGAGGTTATACACTCCCGGTACTTACAAACTGTTTTGTTAAACTTTATAGTCATTGTATTTTAATAAGTTCAATTGTTCAATGACTTATTATGATTAAATTTATAATTATCAAAAGACAATAATAATGGAGCAGCTACAAACTGCACTGACAGCGATTAAAGTACTACGATCTAGTGTTGGTCAAGTGTTTGATGCTCTTGGAAATGGTATACGAGCTGATCATGGTGAAGAAAATAAAGAAAATAAATATTTAATTGAACTGCAAGAACTTTTAACAACTGTCAGTGTCAATTTAAGGTATAGGTTCTGGTTTTATAGAGAGATATGTTTGTCAAGATATACTGTATTAAATCTCTTTTTTCTATTTAGAGATGTGGAACAAAGTGTAAGTAGTTTGAATCCACCACCTGGACCATTTAATTTAGGAAGTACCGCATATTTAAGTCAAGAAACTACGCAAGAAAGACAAGCATTGTATAGCACTCTTGTTAATAGTCACAAGTGGACTGATAAGGTCCATGAATATAGTAATATTGCTCAAAGGGTCCTAAGTCAAAATTCTTTGAAGAGGTCTTACATTAACTCTAGTAGAGCAAAGAGAGGCAGAGTTCAAACAAGTAATCATAATGTTCCTCAACAGTAAGTTAAATTGATTTCTCAATGAAAAATTTGAAATGTTTTAATAACAATTTGTAATAATATGTCTTACATCTCTTTTAGGCAAGTGGATTCGATGATAGCCACATTTGATAGACTTTTTAATGACATGACGGTATCTGTGTCCAGACCGTTTGCGTCAAATGCAGTATTGCATGTTACTCTGGGACATGTTTTAAAAGGTGTAATAGCATTTAAAGGTTTAATGATTGAATGGGTAGTGGTGAAAGGTTACGGGGAAACAATGGATTTGTGGACAGAATCAAGGCATAAAGTTTTTAGGAAAGTAACAGAAAATGCTCATGCTGCAATGTTACACTTTTATTCACCAGCACTACCTGAATTAGCTGTTCGATCGTTCGTGGTAACCAGTCAAAAACTATTATTACTTATAAGAGTTCATTAATTTAAGTAAATAATAATAATTTCCAATTATTATTTTAGACATGGTTTCATAGTCTAAATAATTTATTCAGCGATCCTTGCAAACGTTGTGGTTTGCACTTACATAGTGCTTTACCCCCAACTTGGAGAGATTTTCGAACTTTAGAACCCTATCATCAAGAATGTAAACCATAATTATTTATGTCAGAGATTCGTATATTTAATTGTATATTTATTACATAATGTAATTTTGATGAATAAAAAAGATGAAAAATGAATAACAGTGCAATTAAAAACGCATACGTTTTACTTTGTAAATATTTTTATTTATAGATTTAAAAGATGTCATGTATGATCTTTCCACTTAAATTTATCTGTTCACCTTAAATACATTAATCATAAGTAATTAAAATATTATAAACAATTGCTACGTATATATACAATTGCAAATAAAACCATGGTACAATATTACAAATTCACATATTTTTTTATTAATCAAAACTCAAAATTATATTGTACGTATCAGAAATTAGTCAAATGTTTCTCTAGATAATTTAATATCATTCTTTTAAAAAAATAAACTAATTAGAAATATTTGGATTTAAATATCTT